CTAATCCTCTTTTTATAGACTTTCGACAAAACCCTACTTCCGGAAAATTATTTTTCCAAGCCAATTAAAATTAAAACACGTCTCGAATTAATTTGTTTCAGCCATCGAAATTAATTTGGAAATACCCTCCTCGGCACGAAATGACAGAAGCTTAATTCGGCCAATTCCATAAATAAAATTTCAAAATTGCTAGTTTAGTCCTCCAAGTCTTCGAGTGTTCTAATTTCTTTCTTGTTAATTGATCAAATATTCAATTCTGCCCTTTTAGTTGCTCTTATCTTCATTTTGGCTCAAAACTTTAACAATTCCTCCATTTGAGTACAATTCCTACAATCAAATATAAAAACACATAAATAGCACATTTGTAATCAAAATATTGGCAAAATTTCACATAAAGGGATATTAAAAATAAGTAAATTATGAGCACATCACGATGCTAAACCTAAAATATTTTTTTAAAAAAATTTCAAGGACTTTAATGCGAATTAAATTTCATAAATAGATGGTTGAATGCACGCACACACACAGATAGATATATATATATATATATATATATATTGCGTACAATTAAGAAAGCCATAAATCTAATGCATCAAACTATAACTAAACGTGAATGCGAGTCACCAATCATGTCATCGTCCAACTATTCTATCATACTAGACAATAAACCGTCCAATCATTGTAATCCTCCAGGAGCATATGCACATACCATGTAATTCTAAAGCAAACATTTATAGAACTTTCTAGCCTTATTAAATTGCAAAAAACTAGTTGTTAAGTGCGATGATGTGGCAATCGCCCTGAATTCTCTTAAAAAGAAAAAAAAAAAAAAAGAAGCAAATTTGGTAAATCATGCAATTCACGTATTAGAATTTAGCTTTGGGATCAAAACATGTTGTCAACATTGAAATTGTTGATGATTTGAACTCAATTTGTCACCTAAAAGTGAGTAAAGGATTCTTTGGATCGATTATTGCATGCAAATTGCCGACGCAAAGTTGTTGCATCGACGGCCACATGACCTCAAACACCTGTTCTCCGACGTCATGTTAATCCCAAATACTTCAATTTGCTTGTCCATACGTGTCCATGCTTGCGATAATACTAAAAGCACTATTGCTTATGCGGAATAAAATTATGTGCACAGCATTCTATCTCTGTTATTCGAAAAACTTTCAACAAAATTTTTGACAGTGTCAGGAACAGAATTCTTGATTAGCATCATTTTGGTTTATTAAATATTACTATTAAACTTGATACTTTAAAATTTTGTATATATAAGTGTTGTTAACTCGGCTTGTACTGGACGGTCGAACCAGAGTAACTAAAAATCGGATCTCATCTTGAGCTAAATCAGTCGAAAAACCATTAAATTTTGACCTTATTAAAACTGGTCAAATTCGATGGCTAAATCAGAAATCAGTAAAACTGAATCGATCCACTCACTTCATATTGTCTCAAATCACAACAAAAAATTTAGGAAACCGTGCGAGACCACGACGAAATATATTTGGGAACTTGCTAATCCAAGCTAGATTTCTAAAAGGGTAGAATAAATAGTATCAACATCAAATTGCACTCAGTGGCGGAGGGAGCAATAGGTGCAATTTTCTTTCTCCTGAAAATTTATGAAAATAATTTAATTTTGCCCCAGTAATTCTTTTTTTACACATTTAGCCCATGAAGCAATTATTATTATTATTATTATTATTATTATTATTATTATTATTATTATTATTATTATTATTTTTTCTTTTTACATTTTTTCATCATTCCTTTGTTTTTTTAGGTTATAAGCGATAACCATAATTTATTAAGAAAAAGGGTGAGTAATAAACAACCATACAACAACCGTTGGTTGAACTAAAATAACTAGTCATTCGTGTCAAATCAAGACACAATAGATAAGATACAGACTCAACCATGTGTATTACTCCAGGTCTACTATTTTGAGCTAAATTGTAACAATTTCACTAATTACAGAATGAAAATATTACAACCAATAAAGTGCATGAAGAGAACCAATATTAAAAAGAAATACCTACTACACTGCAAATTTTAATCTAGATTTCAGATTAAAGATACTTATAAGACTTAGATCTGTAGCAGATCTTCCCTTGTTGATCTTCAAATTCCATGTATATCTCCTTTGTCTTCAATCGACCATGATTTTTTTTTTTTCCGTTTACCAAATATGTTCATATACACACTAAAATGAAAATAATAGAGAAAAAAAAAATCTCTCAAGCTGAGAAAAACAAGATTTCCAAAAAATAAAAGAGCAAAACTCTTACTAAAGCGAATGAGGAATTGGTTCATTGGTAAAACCACCTTACTCCAAGAGGAAGTCATGAGTTCAATACCCACTTTAACAAAAAGTGAGGGGTTGGCTCTCACCTTACTTATTGACACCCCTAAGGACTTGTTATGGCTAACCCACTAATGAACCCCCGATTTCGCACTCAAGCTTGTCATCCCGAGCTTGTGGAGGTGGTTTACCTCCCACTGGTTTGCATGCTATTGCAATGGGCGTGGGTTTATCCATCTCTGGTGGGGTTCCCGGCGTTACCCAAAAAAAAAAAAAACCCTTACTAAAAGAAGACTAAACAGTACAAAATAAAACTTAAAAGATTGAGCTGCCAGTGATTGCGCCTATTGTTATTGATGTACGGTAGAGATGTAATTTGTGAAGATAATTTGTAACATTATGTGATAAATAACTATAAACTTTAATATGAAAAGACGCTTTTTTTTAGTTATTTTATATATAAGGAAAGCCAGTGGCTTGATTTCAAAAGTCCCTATTCATATAGGGAGGCGAACAGCTTGTCCGTACCTAATAGATCTATCACGCTAGATGGAATTGTTGACAAAATATGTCTCCGGCTTGACACTGAAAACCAAATTTGGCTAGTGAAGATGTTTTTATTTTTGTAAACGTGGAAAATATTATAGTACCTCGGTAGTAAGTTTAACATTTTCATTTTTAAGGTAGGATTTCCGCTGCCTTACATTCCTCTTTGGGCTAGCTTTACAATAAAAACTAACAAAACTGAGTCCAATTTTCTACACTCGAAATTCGGCCCATGTTTATCTGAGTCCACTTATCCTGATTGGACAGTTGAGACGGTCGGCATCTGTCCGCTGCTGATCGTGTGTAATTGTTACCGAGACGATTTCTGCAATTTTGTCAGTACGTCCTGTTCATCCCTCTTCTCCTTTCGAATCATGTGGATCTTCTTCTGTATATAAATTGGCCATTTGGGTTCCGTTTAGAATCCAATTTTTGATGCGGGCAGATTGAAGGAGAGAAGATTCGTTAGAGAAAGGAATTGAGACCAGAGATGTTGGCTTTCGGAGTTAGTATTCAGGGCTTGATTGACCTGATGGTAGCTGGGTTTTCTTTGATGATTGGGTTGGGATTATTCGTTTTCATCGCCTCGATTTTGTGCTCTGCAGCTTTCTTTCAGAATGCAAAGGAGCTCTCTTGATTCATCCCCCCATGGTATTGCATATTTTCTTTGCACTGTTTCCCTCTTTGATGTTGTTAAGTGTAATTTGCCTAGCTTGGTGTTGCTGATCACTGTGTGTGTGTGTGTGTGTGTGTGTGTGTTTCCCGGTTTAGAAGTTTATGCTAAAGACTAAAGTTCAGTTACCTTTTTGTTCAATATATAGACTCTTTTGTTGCCAGCTCGATTTTAGTTGCTGCTGGTGAACTGGATGAGCTGTTTGTTCATCTTAATCACTGGTTTCCGGGATCTTTCAAAATAAAATCATGAAATGAATTTTGTTGCAAGGAGTTCGATAAATTTCCAAATAACTATTCCTCCATGGCTTATTGGAAGGGGTTTTATTCATCAGTTCATGTATCGCAGACTCGGGTTAATTTGACAGCAGAATGTTTTTGGGGGCACGTTAATTTGAAGGGTATCATGTTTCTTTAGGATCTTGGTGTCCTCATTATGTAAATGTGAAGTTGCCTTAGGAGTTAGGATGCAAGAACCTGCATTGAGCTTTAATGAATGTGATCAAATTTTCTTTCCCTGCTATCACTGATCTCCTAAGACATTTGCCTTTTTTTTGGAGATATTTTGATGGAGTTTGCTTCTCAAGAACTTAATTTGGACCATATTCTGATATTTGCAGGTAATGCTTTGTGAGAAAAATGCTGCACATAATTAGCAGCCACTTGATGTTCCCTTGAAGCTGCTACACTCTCTCACTGGATGATGCTTTGGAATAATTTGCAGGAGTTTGCTCTTTTGGGTTGAGGAATTTATCATTTGTTGTACCAGAGAAATAGGATTGTTTTGGTGACATCCTCTGTTGTTTGACCATCTCATGTAACATTTCTGATAGATTGTGAAAGAAGAAGAATCCCTTTGCCTAATGACAAGCTTCTTATAACATGTCTGAGTTATTCTGTAATTTCGCAGATCAATTTTCGCTTTCTTTTGAGTGCATTTTGCATTTTCTTCTTTTATTCTACGTTTTGAGCAAAACCAGTTTTATATTCAAATGCTAAAACCGAACGATTTCACTAATCTGAGAAGTAAAAGCGTAAAACCATACGGAGCAGTAACATCATTTATATACTGGTATACAGGACTATAAGTTACTGGGAATCACTTATGGGTGAGTCAGGGTAACCAATCTTGATGGAGTATTTTTCCATTGATCAACGTTCATTCGGTTTTCTGCTTTCTACACAAAGTTGCTATCATCCTAGATTCCGATCCAGAGCATTCTTATTTTTGTACAAATTGGAACCGGAGAGATCTTTTGCTTTACCACTTATTGTCAGCAAACCCTTGGAGGCTCCTCAATTTGGATCCTCACTTGAGAATAACAGTGAAGGATTAGCCAAGGAGAAGTTCTGATTTCTGAACTATTTTCTTTTCATGATGCATTTCAATGATCATCATAGCTGATCTCGAAGTTTCTTTTTCTTTCATTGTATAAATGTAGGGCAGTGAAATGGCACGATGAAGCAGAAAGAGTTACACCAATGCGGAAGCCCCTAATGGTCCCATTTCTGCGGAAGCGCCTGATGGTCCAATTCCTGCACCAAGTAATGGTAAATGAGATGCTCTGCCCAATTTTTCTTTTGTGTATTATCATTGATCTATTAGTGAAAACAGATAAGTTTCACTAGAACAACATAAGTTTTGAAAATTTAGGGGAACAGTTGCTGCCTTAGAAAACTTACCAGAGGTTGGCATTGGCATTGGCATTGGCATTGGCATTCGTGGCATTCGTCTCCTGGGGAGGCTACTCGGCATGGGGTCCTTGATGTCAATTACAACAGCATTAGACGTTAGGAAAGTATTGGCGACCGATGCTGCATGTTCCAGGCAACATCGAACAACCTGCACAAGAAAATGTTTTTGAGGTATTGTGATGTGTTTCGTGGCTTAGTATAATGAAGCAATTTTGAGTTCATTCACTCCTTCAAATGTACTAGCCCATAGTAGAGACTTTACCTTTGATGGATCCAATATCCTGGCAGCCATCAAATCCTCATACTCGTTTTTGGCAGCATTGTAACCATACCCTACATTATCTACAGACAGGACCTGCAGATGTCAACACCTTTTCAAGTTAAGCTTCTTTTGTTATCAGTGAGTGCAATTGTAGCAGTCATACACAAAATAATATGTTGAAGAAAAGATATTTCATTCTTAAACAAAGACCTTCTCCATGACAAAATTTCCATTGACACCAGCATTCTTTGCTATCTGTCTTAGAGGATATGCTAGTGCCCTTTTAAGAATATCAGCTCCAATCTGCATTAATGAATGCATACATTATCATTATCGTCTAAAGAATTCGGCATTTACTAAGTCAATGTATGATAAGGAAGCACACCTTTTGCTCCTCGTTGTCTAATTGGCTTTTGATCGTTTCCACCTTTTCTGAAAGTCTCAGAAGGCAGCAGCCGCCTCCGACAACTACTCCTTCCTCAATGGCTGCCTGCAATAAAAGGATATTAAAGCATTTTACCAGTAAAATGGTAAACGAAGACATCATAATAGCATCATTCGACCTTAGTTGCATTTAATGCATCTTCCATTCTGAGTTGTTTGTCCTTCATTTCGACTTGTGTTTGTGCTCCCACCTGTCATCAACAGATCCGAGTCCACTGTTCGAATCATTGCAAAATAGTTTTCAGTTTCTCAGATGCAGTTACGCAAACTTAATAAAATCAGTCACCTGAAGGATAGCTATTCCCCCTGACAATCTTGCTATCCTCTCATTCAAAATTTTCTTCTGGAATTTTTCAACTGTATTCTGCATAATTTTGACATCTCAAGCAAATTAATGATATAGCGGCACAGGTTGATGGACCAACATAAAAATCCAAGGCAGACCTCAACAAGACTTTGTATCTGAGAAACTCTTGTCTGAACAGCCTCTTGATTTTCCCCATTTGTAACTATTAAGGTAGAATCTTTGGTTACTACCACCTTACTTGCAGTTCCAAGCATTCCCTTGTGAGCATTCTCAAGTGTCAAACCTGCAGCTTCTCTGATCACAGTCCCTGAAAACATTTGATGTAATTCTTTTCTTAAAAAAAATGATAGAGAATTTGATAGACTAAAAAATAAATAAGCGTCGAAAGATATGCCATTTAATAACTACAAGACAGAAAATTTGAATCAAGTTGTGTTTGTACCTCCTGTCAAGACAGCAATGTCATCAAGGTAGTGGCTCTTCCGCTCATTGAAGGCAGGAGCTTTGATAGCAACAGCCTTTATATTACCTTTGAGCTTGTTCCTAATTACTGGAGCCAGAGCTTCTTGTTCAATTCCTTCTGCTACTATCAAAATTGGGTAATTCTCCTTAACTGCATTATCCAAAATCTTAAACATCTCCCTTGCGTCTGTGATTATTTTGTCAACCAAAAGCAACTGTAACAAAAGAGTTTCCATTGTAGTTACTATGGAAGGAAAACACAATATGTTGAACACACAACTTCTGTACCTTGCAATCATGGAGCTCAGCGATCCTCTCCCGTCTGTCTGTAACAAAATAAGGAGACAAATAGCCGCGATCAAACTGCATCCCTTCGACAACACTCAAACTATTCTCAGCATGGTTCCCTTTCTGAATGGTAACAACTCCTTGTCTTCCTACTTTTCGAAAAGCATCAGATATCATGTTTCCTACTGCATAATCATTGCCTGCACTAACAGCAGCAACATCTGCAAGCTCATGATCCTCAACCTGCAACAAGTTCATATTACTGCTTAGTAAGTACCAACATGAAATGGTTCTAACTAGCCAGAATTGCAAATTGAAACAGCATCTTTAGCCGGAGAAATTTGTAAAGACTCTTGATAATGTTTGAAATTGAAAAACTAATACACTTACCTCTCTAGACATCTGTTTCAGTTCAGAAACAAGGGCCTTCATAGTTTTATCAATTCCTCGAGAGATCTGAATAGGGTTCATACCCGCTGCAACAACCTGATGAATGGGCATTTTTTTACTATAACTCGACCTAAGAAAATTTATGTTCAATGCGCACTACAAGAAACTAAACTCATTGTCATATCTGCTAAGATATGAAAATCCAGGGAATCAAACTTCATTATCAAAGAAATATGAAAATCCAGGGAGTCAAACTTCATTATCAAAGAAATATGAAAATCCAGGGAATCAAACTTCATTATCAAAGAAAATGAACGAAAAACTGAATTCACCACACAAACTTTTACCTTCATGCCTTCAGCAATTAGACCTTGTGCAAGTATTATGGAAGTAGTGGAACCATCCCCAGCAAGTTCATTTGTTTTTGCACCTGCTTGTCTCACTAATTTTACTCCCACATTCTCCAATGGATCTTCCAGTTCAATCTGTAAACTGAGAGCCACAAACTTAAGCGACAGTTGGATAAACATTTCTGCAAGACCGTATCTTTAATTTACCATAACATAGAGCAAACTGTTTCATTTCTTCAAGTCTAAAGAGAATGATGGTTGATTAATCATACCTCTTTAAGAACAGTTTCACCATCATTAACAATCTTTGGAGGTCCATACTTATTCTGCAACACAACATTCCTTCCCCTTGGCCCCAATGTCACTCCAACTAACTCTGCCACCAGGTCTACACCTGCCTGCAAATTCAAAACAACATCCCACAAAGAACCTTGAACAAATTCTTGATTCAAAATGCATTTGAAGACAAAAGCATGCAATCAAACATATTCAGTCCTAATCAATCAAACCTGGAGCTTCTTCATTGCAGAACCATCATGGTTAAAGTACAGTTCTTTAGCCATAGCTCTTGTGTTTAGCTGTCTTCTAGTAACATTGTGTTTTGTAGTTGGCTTGTTTATTGGTTGCAAAGAGTAAAGGGAGCAACTCATGATGATTTATTAGTATAGAATTGCAGTTCTAGCCAAAGATGGGTGCAAGGTTCAACAATGTTATGGTTGGGTTTCAAGATTTTTTGCAAAGTCAGCTCAGAGCTAATATTAAAGGATAAGATACTGAGAGTTATGAAAGAAAATATCTTCCTTTAAACTCAAGAGCTCTTCTTGGCGCCATCCTGAGAAAAATAAACAGCATCCCATATTTACCAGTTTTTTCACTGTTCAAACTTGCTTTCTCGAATCCAGTTGATTTTGGGCCTAATGGAACCCATTAAGAGAAACTTTAGTCAGCCCAAAGGGGGAAATCTCCTTAAATTTCTATTTTTCCAACACTTTTTGTATTAAATTAAAGAAAATCCTTAAATTGAACTGATTGATTTCTATTTAAGTTTTTCTAAAAAATATATTGTTTCGGGTTCTGTAATTAAATTTAAATATTAATTGAATGATTTAAAATAAACTGTTGGAAATATAAATATTTTCCTTTTTTTTTGGGAAAATATTTAACTAAAACACAAAACGTAAAACTATAATCACAATCCATATACTGGGCAACTGCATTCCTTAAAACAAAGTCGTGCACTTTTTAATATATTGGATAGAATCAATATCGTGATCCATCCTACTTGGTTTTAAAAATGTGTTCTTGCCTTTTTTGATAGAAAGGGATTTTTATTTATTTATTTATTTTTCCTTGGTCTCAATTAGCGCTTTCAATTCTTTTTGCTGGAAAATAAAATGTATAACGCTCTAGTGATTCGGCAACACTTTCGTTTCTTGGTATTAAAGGTAAAGTGGTGACAAAAGTTTGGCTCCTTTATTTGGGTATTTTTAATATGATGTGTTTTGCTCTCTCTTTTTAGCTTCTTTTTGCCTATCAATTTATGATCTTCTACAAAATAAGACACAAGAAAAATGCTGACCTCTAGAATTTGCCAATTGCATAGAAATATATATAAATATATATATATATATATATATATATATATATATATATTCACACATCAACCCTTACCCTTCCCACCAATCAAGATAAAGAGAAATGTTCATCTTTTCCCTTCGCTTTCCATTTGTCTTTTGTGTGAAAGAGGACGTTTTGAATTTTATTAGACCTTATATTTATAGCTAAGTTCATCAAAGCAATGTAAGTGGGCTATTCACTTAGGATGGAATAAAAAACATTAACATGTTTAATTACTAATTAAAAAGAATTAACTTGCACTTCCTCTGTCCAAAATTAATTACCTAATTTAAGTTTTTATTTTTAGTATCATTTGTATTGAAAGTGATCAAATTGGACAATCATTTCAGGATGAAAAGTATATTATAGTGTATAAAAGCACATCAATCTCGACACCGATAAAGTATGACATTTCTTCTATTATATTTTATAGTTTATATATTGAATTAGAACGGGATAAAAATTAACTGCGTAGGCTCTAAAATGAAGTCGGGAAGTATTTTACTAATTAATCTAATACATTGGTGTAAGAAATCAAATTGGATAGTGAATCTTCATTATGTGGGGCGGTGTTTCTCACTTTTCAAGCATTTCACATAGTTTTCTGGGCTCAAGGTTTTGAAGGTCGGGGATAAGATAAAGAAGGATGCAATTGGCTGGAAACCCTGGAGTGAATAAGTTTCTCAACCCTGCAGAAAATCGAAGTTGATCAACAATTATGATGTCAGATGAAACTTGCTCTAAAGTTTTTTGTGTCCAAAAGAAAAAAAAAAAAAAAGCATAATAAACAGTAAACAAGGATCATAATGGAATGCCTTTTATTCCATTGTCTTTGCTTATTGTAGTACCCTCCTGATCCAATTATGAACCACTATGACCAGCTTCTCCACCACCTTTTGTCTCTTTTCTTTGTGTTAGTAATTTTTTTTTTTTTTTTTTTGTGCTTCACAAATTTCTGGCTGATTATATTATGGGTCCTTCCTGCATCTTCTGCAGATATATTGCGACCATCATCATCGTATGTTAATCTTGAATAAAATCTGTTCACGATATACAAAAAGAGGGTTAATTTTGATTTCTCTCTTCTTTTTTTTCCTGCTTTCTTTATAGTCTATCTATTTCATTAACGTAGTTTTCACAGAGCTGGAGAAAAAAAGAACGAATGCCTTTATGATCAAGCGATAATGCAATATCAACTTTTATTCTAGTAGTAGGTTTTAACAGCAGCTTTTATGCTCATCCTATTTAAGGAATTATTCAGAATGAATATTACTGGCCACGGTCTGGCTTTTTTTATATATACTATATAAAAAAATTTAGTGGATGAGGTTATATATGAAGTTTCTGTAAAGTTGTTTCTTAATGATGGAATATCTGATTGCTCCCATGATTGGCCATGGCCATGAAACTCAAATTTTTTTCTTTCTTTTCTCTGAATTTTGTGCACTCGTATAATAATAATAATAATAATAAGACAAACTGTTTAGGAAAATGTTAAAGATTAATTAACTTGATTCGATCATCATGTTATCGAAGTATTACAAGGAAGGAGAAGAAGAAGGGGTTTCACTCACTCACTCATTACATTCATGATGAAAAAAGAACAGGAAACAGGGGATTAGACAAAAAACAGAGTTCGCTGAAACAGGGGATTAATTAATTACTCTTTTGTTCAGTCAATTAAAGAAGTTGTAGTGACGCCCGATTGGCTTGTTGTTGTTGATGATTCAGACCTGAGCAGAGCTGAATTGCATGGAACCTCATCAAGATCACCCAAGCAGCCATTGTTGTGAAAAGGGCTTCCAAGCTGAAGATTTGTGAGCATTTGACGAAGATCAGATGCTTCTTCTTTCAATCGCGCATTTTCTTTCAATACTTTGTCGTGTGAATCCGAAACATCGTTCAATTTGTTCATCAGATTCTGATTCTCGTTCCTCAATCTCAGCACCTGAGACCAGAGCTCATCAAGGTGCCTCTGTTTCCTCATCCTTGACCTCCGGGCTGATTCTCTGTTTGATATCATTCTCCTCTGTTTCCTTTCGTCTATGAGGTTAAGTTGCAGTTCATCAGCCTCGTCGGACGTGCTACCGGAGTTGTTGCTCAAGCTCGAAACCGGAGTTGTCGCCGGAGCAAATTGATAATCATGGATGAGTTGAAGTGGGCTCTGGATTTGAAGATGGGGATGATAATCAGGGAAGAATTTGTTGAATTGGAATGCTGCTGGGAAGTTCCCCGGCACCAAGGTGTTGAAGTTTGAGGAGGGATTATTCTCTGGGCTGAAGTAGTGGATTCCTGTTGCTTCAGATGAAATCATTTTTGCTGGATTTATTATGGGGTTCTTTTCTTTTCTTTTGCTGAACTAAATTGAAGTTTGATCAGTGTTTTTTCTTTGGTGGGAGTTTTGTTTTCTGGGAGCAATTGCATGGAGGATTAGACTGCTTTTATAGCAGAAAGGAGGAGGTTTGTGGTGTAGGGCCAAATTCATGAAACAGTGAAAAAGGATTACGACAGCAGAAATTTAAAAAGAAAGAAACATTCATCTCAAGAGCTTTGATGTATTTGTGCCACTTAGCCACTACTATAATCTAGTGCTACTTTTTTTAAGTTCATAATTTTTTTTAAGGTTCATCCGGTTTCCTTTAACAATATCATGTATACTAATAATGTTACCATCACACTAGGGTTCCACGACAGCATACGAATTTCACCGGAGAATATTATCTGTTTTAATTTTTGTGTATCATTCGGTTCTCATGGGAAAGTCGATAATGTTTGTGGACTAAAAACGTTTTGGGACGACTTAATTGCGTGAGAGAATTTAATCATGAGAGATTACAAGGTTTAAAATTTGACGGAATGAAAAATATCATAATTTTTTTTTTTTTTTGGAAAAAGGTAAATTTTCATTACTTGAAAACTGAAATCAGTGTAACTACTGCTATTACAACTTTACAGTATACCTATACTTTCAAAATATCGAATATCATTATTATTACCCTTTCTATAATACATTTGCATTCCACTTATAATCTCACCTTTTAGCAATTTAAATCTATATACTGCACCTTTACTTTGTTGCCTGAATTTCCTGTTTCGTTCTGTCTCAAGATGGTACACCACTGCAGCGACCGTTGCATTTAACAGTTTCTTTTTTGCCATTCTGCCCTTCCACAGTCTAAATTTGCAAGAATATTGACGTGACAAGTAAATAGTATTCCCTCTGTTCCATAATTATTGTCCAATTTGGGTTTTCATTTCTAGTTCAATTTGTACTAAAAGTGAAATTTCAAACTGGACAATAATTTTAGGACGGATGGAGTATGTTGTTTACCATGGTTGTAATGATGCATATGTTTCAGTGTCCATGACGCAATCATGAGATAGTAATACTACATCTACATAAGGGGGGTTTTGTGGATAATACTCGAGCATCCAATGTAAGGCTGACATAGGAATAATAAAGTTTGTGATCAATGTGGTTACAGTTTTAGAAAACGTATTTTTCTTTTTCTCCCTCAATTATTATAACAACAAGATGGAAAAGTTCATGAATTATTAATAGTCAATTTGATAAAAGCAAAACCTCAACATGAAGAAAAAAGGGGTTTCATGGATGACGAAAACTAAGGCCATTTTCCAAAAGGTTGAAATTATTAGTGTTTAAAAAACAAAAAGGAAATTAATCCAATTCTTTTATGGCCATGCATTTAAAATTTATCCATCGGATGATGCTCTTCTTGCAGGTTTGGGATATATGAGTTTGAGGGTCCCAAAACCCTAATGGGGGATTCTGTTTTCTAGATTTATTCATTCTTTGTTTCATGCGTAGTTGCATTTGAATCCAGAAGAAGATATAGGCATGTAGCCAACAAAGCTTCTGTGGGATAGTTAGGACAAAGTCACAAAGGCGAATTGTCTTTTCCGACTCCATTACAAATTATACCTATTTGACCGACTTTGCTTAATCTCATAGAATTCTTAATTGTATGACTTGAGCAAGACCAAATAAATACTGGGAAACTGGGGAGAAAATGCTATTGAATTAGAGAACATCAAAACAACTTTTGGTGTATAACTATCTAAAACGACAAGGGACCATCTATGTTTTAGTTATTGCGATGAAGTAGAGTCTGGTTAGTGTAATGATGACTTTTAGAGTTTAAGAGATATTACATTGTTATTTGTTATTATATGAGGTTTTTTTTTTTTTTTTTTACATCAATATGCAGTGATCAATGGAGCATAGAATCTTATTTGGACTTTTGCAATTGAAAAAATCTTTCGTCATTTCGAGTATCTTATCAAAGAATCAAATTAGAAGTCCACCCTTAGTTTCTTACACTGTATAATTATAGTGTCTTAATTTGTCATGACGTGAGGACGAAAGCGTTGCTTTCGAATGGTTGTTTTTGTTATACAATTAACAAATATGGCAAATATTTTTTTGTGATAAAAGGAATATATAATTTTGTAATAATTAATATAGACTTGAGCAATGGTCAATGAGTGACAATAAGGGGTTTCTTTCATTTCACCTTCCATCGATGATTTTGTTTTCAAACGCCAACGGCGATGAAAGTCAACTCGATTGATGAAAATGTGTATAACGTTAAGAATAGAATATCAATCCGTGAAGAAAACCATTTAGTACTCCCTCCGTCATAAAATTATTATCCAGTTTGAGTTTTCATTTTCAGTTCAAATTGTATTAAACGTGAAATCTCAAACTAGATAATAATTTTGGGACAAAGTAAGTACTAAACAAAGGATATATTCATGTTCTTAGTGGATCGAAAGCTGTTTCATCACCGCATCCCACTGATAATACATTTTTGGTAAATCAATCAAAAGTTTTCCGTATGTGATCCTAAAAAATTTTCTGCAAAAAATACATCAAAGATCAACTGGCATACCTAATTGGCTAATATATATAGTGTCCACTTGTTTTGTGGAAGACAGAAAACTCATGTACATGAATTCAGTCGCATTATAATTTTGTACTAAAATAAATGAACAAAATTGACAAAGCTAAAAAAGGGTTAGTTCGGCCAGTTTTACTGCTAATAGATTAATCGGATAAGAAGAATAATATTAACCTCAAATCTTTGTATGTGGATCTTGTGGCCAACAATTCACGGAAGAATATTCTCCACAATGACAAAGTGAAATTAGAACTCTTTTGGTTTTTGGGGAATTTGTACTTAGAAATGGTACTATTACCTGATCCGATTAGGGAAAATGTACTTTGATTACTTTAATCTTACCTTAATCTGCCCAATGAAATACTATGTTGTTGTTTAATAGTGGAGTTAGGCAGAGACGAGTTTCTGCATTCCCAACACTCTAGCGTGTTCAATTGGCCTTCTAAAAAGTGACCAAAGAAATTAAATGAGTTGTTAAACATGACTAAATTTTGGTCATTAGATTAATGTAGCACTAAATTAGTAGTGGGTTTTGTAACTAATTAAGTAATGAAACTATGTTTCGAATAGCATCCAGCAGGCTACCCTCTTTTTTTTTCTTTTTTTTTTTTCCTTCTTTTGAAAAGACTGAAATTTATATTCTCATTTGGCTCTTTTTTCCATGGGATGTGGCCAAACTGAGTGTCACAACAGGATTATACGACTCAAAACAAAAGAAAATAACACTTCTTTTTTTTTTTTTGGCTCCATCGAGGATGGTATTATTGCATGCATGAAAGAACCCATTCCTTGGTATTCAAATGTGGTGCAGTCATTGTAGTTGCTGGTATATTATTTTGTTCGTCACAAGATTAAAGTTCTATTAGTTGAATTAAAATACTTATATAATATTCAAAACTCTATTATTTTGAGTAAGATAGAACATGTTACTACAAGAAATATGTGTTATTTGAGCACTAATTGTTTGTTACTATTACTGTTATCACGAGTCACGAAATACATTTTTCTAAAAAATTAAAACGATACATAAAAAGTATTATCGAAAATTGCATTTCACACATAATTTATAGTTTCTAGTAAACAATATTCGTAATTATAACTTAATTATACAACCGAGTACTTTATGAGATGAATGTTGGATCTCCCTCTTATAACGGTGATAAAAGCCAAAATGTACATTAAAAAGTCGATGACATTGTGAAGAACTAAGGTCGTAACAAGGTCGCATGCATGATTTCAACATAGTATATTTTGGACAAATAAGATATGAACTAATGGGAGTTTCTGCGTGTAGCTAATTGAGATGGTGGTCCATATATGTGTATATATATATATATATATATATATATATATTTACGCCAATTTGACATTATTTAAACGCATTGTTGCAGATCTATATTACTGTTAGTGCCTGATGGCCACTAATTATTTTATGATAAAAGAGTTTCGATTAAATAATCTACAAAAGCTGTATCGAAAAAGTCTCGGCAAATCTCAGCGGTAGCAACTTGCAACCGCACGCATTTCTAGCCATTTGTTATTGCAGTTCGAAGTTCCACTAACCAAATTACAAAGGTTTTTTTTTTTTTTTTTCCTCCTATACAAGGGCTTTTAGACATTAGAAGTTCTACTATTAGTTAGCTAGTCTTAATAGTCGTGTTTAGAACATGATATAATTAGTATTTTAAAATTTGCAAAATATTATAATAAAACAATTAATTAGGGTTCTTTTGGACGCATTTTCTCTTTCTGTTGGTTTCTTTTGGCATTATTGAATGAATAATTTAACGTATCTAAGAAGCGGCTTAGAAACGTTGGAAACAGTTAGGGACAGCTAAAACAACATTTAAGTTCACTTTTTTTAAAAAAAACACATTTTTGTAACTAAATAATGGTGAGTTTTTGTTTGTTTTCCAATTTCTGGATAGGAACAACACATCAGAAATATTGCAATTACTTTCCCAGGTTGCTTAAGTTGTTAGTTTTCATATATACTACATGAACCAAGTAAAAAAATGATCGTGGCACATAGTTTTAGGAACTGTAAGTTCCTACTCTCATTATTTTTTCCTTCCAATACAATGATCATCTCCTGTTATATATAAGATCATAAAAAATGACACTTATAATTCATTCGATATCTATCCACCATGACATCAAATTGACGAAGCAAATAAATAATGAGGTCCGCACACGTCAAAATTAATCTAATGGTTTTTTTTTTCTGTACAATAAATTAGACAAGAGTCTAGAAATTAATACTAGTATATATTACGTGAATATATTATCCTTAGACATAATTTTTCGCCCATAGTTTTAGTGTTTTATTACTGGTGTTGGAACTTCTAACTTATACAGTATATGTAAACTGCCTGATATTTGAACTGCTAACGACGTTAAATAATTAGCTGTAAAATTAATTTCACGAAAATCATATTTAAGTTTCATTTTCCATTAACGATTCAGCAAATAATACCACGAATA